TTAGGGGATCTGTGTCTTAATCTCTAGCATCAGAATATTTAGGAGAAGAAGAAAGAAAGAAGGGTATTTCCATTTTCAAGAGCCCCCTTTAAGCTCTCTGAGCCTTTTCTTTCTTCTCTCTGATGCTCAGTATCCTCATTGGTGTAGGAAGGATTCTAGCAGTACTTATCTCACAGGGTTGTTGAGATAATCCACATAAATCTGGAGCACAGTGTCTGGCACACGGTGAGCCCACAGTGAATCTTAGACAACATTATTGATAAAATATAAATACCCCTTGAGGAAGCCACACCTGAAATTGTTATCAGCCATCAACGTCTAAACAACATGTTGAACCATTGAGGGCTGGTGACACCCAGGAGAGGGCAAAGAGTCAGTGTGCTGGGGTGACAGGGTTGGGTAACAGAGAGGGCAGATATGTAGGGAGGGAGGTAAGGAACTAATGAAAGAGTGAAGGAAAGTCCCTAGTGTGGGCTTGGGAGGATGACGAGAATGAGTTTCATAGGCTTGCGATGTGCCACCCCAGACCATGCCACCTGCTCCTCTAGTTTATGAATAATTGGTTGTTGGCCTGTGTCCTCTGTCTTCTTGTTCCAACACGCACAGTACTAGGGGTTTAAATAAAACCTTTGGATGATGTGGCTAATGGAAAAGAGAGGCAACTCCACTCAGTGAAGACTGAGGACAGAAGTGTGTGTTTGGGTAGGGTGGGGTGAAGAAAGGGGAAGAATAGTCCATGCACCAGAGAAGGACCATTGTTATGGTATAATGGAGCCAAGTCTGAGGCTCAAACTTGATCCTGGAATTTTAGCCCAAATGGCACCAATCTTGTTTTTATGTCTTTGAATGGAAGTGAAGATTCTTCTTTATAGGGAAGGTGTGAAAATGCAAAGAGACAATTATGTGGCACATAGTGCGTGCCTAATACGTTCATTTCATGTGAGAACCGTTGGAGCACTGCTCCTACCATGACCCAGTTGGACTTCTGATGGCTTCTTCCTCCTTCCTCCCTGCAGGTTCCTCTGGCTCACAATATTTCTGGCCTCATTGGCCCCATTGCAGGGCTTGGCTTTGCCATAGGTAAGTAGTGGCATTTAGGAAAATGAGAAGCCCCTGAATGTTGGTTTGGGGTCAGTTGTTTTCCTTCCCTTTTTGTCATCTGAGGAGGTGGGTGGAAAGCAGAAGGAGCAGGAGTGTGGCTGGCAGGGATGTGGGGAGATGAGCTCATAGTTCCCACATGAAATGAGTGTCCTTGCTGAGAGGGAGGACCGCAGGCAAAGGGCATAGACCAAATGAAGCAGGAAAGGGCAGGATGCCATGGGCAGGAAGGGGCCATGGGTAGAGCTGACTGACAGTGTCCTGTTTGCTCTGGCCACAGGCATGGTGGATTCCTCTGTCATGCCCATCATGGGACACCTAGTAGACCTGCGCCACACCTCTGTGTATGGGAATGTCTATGCCATCGCTGACGTGGCTTTTTGCATGGGCTTTGCTGTAGGTATGTTGGGGGTGGGTGGGAAAGAGGGAACACCCAGGACCTAGTGCCCCACTCTCCCTTATCTGCTATTTTGTACTAGTTAGAAGTGGAGCCAGAAGGCTGATCATCCTAAGGTTCTGGAGATATTTGACCTGAGACATCCTTTGGATCCCCCTGTTGCCCCTAGCATGGTGTCTTACATTTGTCTTACATG